GTTTTTTGAGATGGAGTCTTGCTCATCGCCCAGGCTGAAGTGCAGTGGCATGATCTCGGCTCACTGCAAGCTCCGCCTCCCGGGTTCATGCCATTCTCCTGTCTCAGCCTCCCAAGTAGCTGGGACTACAGGCGCCTGCCACCACGCCCAGCTAATTTTTGTATTTTTAGCAGAGACGGGGTTTCACCGTGTTAACCAGGATGGTCTCGATCTCCTGACCTCATGATCTGCCTGCCTCGGCCTCCCAAAGTGCTGGGATTATAGGCGTGAGCCACTGCGCCCGGCCAAACGAACCCCACGTCTAACTCTTTTTGTCAGTAGCCTTACAATATCCAGGCAAAACACTGTCACTTAGGTCAGCACCTTTCTTCCTCACGCCCTTCAATGTGCTTCATTTGGAACAAAGTTTGTTTTACTTTTCACAGCCTGCGATTTATCTTGGGATCCATCTGTGATCCCATATCCTGGTTGATTTTTTTTTCAATTGACATGGAGCACAATTTATTCTTTGTTGTGTCCAGTTCTGTGTGTTTTTACAGCTGTGCAGTCATGTGTCCATCACCACAGCACCAAATAGAACAGTTCTTCATCCCCAGTCCCCCTGTGCTGCCGCTTTGTAGTCACCTCTGACCCCTAGCTGCCTTTGATGTTTTCTGTCCCTATAGTTTTATCTTTACCCACAGATGTCATATAAATGGAATTATACAACATATAATCTTTTGAAATTGGCTTTTTCCTTTTAGCGTAATGCATTTGAAATTCATCCACATTGTTGTTTGTCTGAATAGTTTGTTCTTTTTTGTGGATGAGTTACATTCCATTGTATGAATGTACCACAGTTTATCTGTTTACCTGTTGAAAGGCATCCAGGTTGTTTCTGATTTTAGGTGATTATGAGGTCATACATATTTTCTCTTGTGTTTTCTTCTAGAAATTTCTTTGAATGTTCTTTCTACCTTTGACAAAAATGGATTGACTATATGTTTGTGTGTGTTTCTTGCAGGCTGTCTATTCTATTGTATTAATCTATACATCCACACTGTATTGCCTGTTGCTTTATAGTTAAGTCTTGAATTCAGCTAGTGTGAGTACTACAACTTTGTTCTTTTTAAACTTGTTTTGGTTCTTTTAGTTCCTTTGCCTTTTCTTAATTTTTTAACAATAGGCTTATCAGTATCTACACAAAATTTTTCTGTGTTTTTTGTTTGGATTATGTTGTTTATATAGATCAAATTGGAGATAAAAATTCCTATAATCCATGAATATGATGTCTCTCTCCTTTTATATTCTTTGATATCTTTTGTGTTTCATTGTTATCTAGCACAGATTTTATTAGATTTAGCTCTAATATTTTCCTTTTCTTTTTCTTGATGCTATTATAAACAGCATTACTTTTTAAAATTCAAATTCCAGTTGCTTATTGCTGTTATGTAGGAATACAGTTGATAGTGTATATTGACTTTATATTCTGTTACCTTGTGAAACTTACCTACTAGTTATAGGAGCTTTTTTGTAGATTCTTTGGAACTTTCTATATAGACAGCTGTATCATCTGTGAATAGTTTTACTTCTTCCTTTCTAATATGTATTCCATTTATTCCTGTTTCTTAACTTTTTGTACTGGCTGGTACTTCTAATATGACATTGGTAAAATAACATCCTTGCCTTGTTCATGATCTTATGAAGAAAGCATTTAGTCTTTCACCATTAAGCATGATCTTAGCTAAAAGTTTTAAAAATAAATACCCTTTATCAGATGGAGGAATTTCCCTTTTGTGTTAGTACCCTAGAGTTACCATAACAAATTACTACAAACTTGGTGACTTAAAACAATAGAAATTTAATTTTTTAGTTATGGAGGATGAAATCACAGTGTAGCAGAGCCACATTTCCTCTGAAGGTTCTAGGGGAGAATCCTTCCTTGCCTTTTCCAGCTTCTGGTGACTCCAGACATTGTTGACTGTAGCAGCATGGATTAGTCTGTTCTCACTCTGCTGATAAAGACATACCTGAGACTGGGTAATTCATAAAGAAAAAGAGGTTTAATGGACTCACAGTTCCACGTGGCTGGTTGAGGCCTCACAATTATGGTGGAAGGCAAAAGTCGAGTCTTACATGGTGGCAGACGAGAGAAGTGAGAACCAAGTGAAAGGGGTTTCCCTTATAAAAGGATCAGATCTTGTGAGACTTATTCTCTACCATGAGAACAGTATGGGGGAAACTGCCCCCATGATTCAATTATCTCCCACTGGGGCCAACCCACAACATGTGGGAATTATGGGAGCTACAATTGAAGATGAGATTTGGGTGGGGACACAGCCAAACCATATCACAGCATAACTTCAGTCTCTTTACATGGCCTTTCCCTTTGTGTATTTATGGTTTACAAAGATACTGTCATTGGATTGAGGGCAATATGGTCTCATCTGAATTGTTACCTTAATTATATCAGCAAAGACCCTATTTTCAAATATGATCACATTCTTACATTCCAGGTGGACATGAATCATTCTGGGACACTATTCAACCTACTACACCTTCTATTCCTAGTTTGCTGGGAGTTTTTAAGTAATCATAAATGGATGTTGAATATTTTAAAGTGTTCTTTTCATGTCTGTTGAGAGAATATTATGACTTTTCTTTAGTTGATATTATGGTAAGTTACATTGATTTTTAAATGTTGAACCAGATTTGCATTCCTAGGATGTATACCACTTGGTTATTTATATACTTTTTAATATATTGATGAATTTTATTTGTTAATATTTTGTGGAAGTTTTTTGCTTCTATCAGTGAGGGATTTTAACCTATAGTTTTATTTTTTGTGATGTCTTTGTCTGGCTTTGATATTAACTGTCCCCAGCTTAACAATTTTTTGACTTTACGATGATGCACAACCATTGCAAATTTGACGTAACGTATGGTATTCAATAAATTACATGAGATATTTAAGACTTTATCATAAAAGAAGCTTTGTGTTACATGATTTTGCCCAACTGTAGCTGATGTGTTAAGTGTTCTGAGCATGTTTAAGATAGGCTAAGCCATGATGTTTGGTAGGTTGGGTTTATTAAATCCATTTTTGACTTATATTTTCAACTTAGGATGGATTTATTGGGCTATAACTCCATCAAAAGTCAAACAGCATCTGGACTAGATTGATAACATGATTGGGAAGTATCCTCATTGTGTGAAATTGATACTGTTTCTTCTTTAACTACTTGATATAATTTGGCCTTCAGTTTTCTTTGTTGGAAGGTTTTTCACTACCTATTCAATTTCTTTAATAGATATTTAACTGCTCGTGTTACCTTTTTTTTTTTTTTCCAAGTGAGTTTTGATTTTGTCTTTCAAAGAATTTGAATTTATGGACATAGAATTGTTTATAGAATCCTTTTTACAGACCTTTGTGAGGTCTGCGGTGATGACTCCTCCAATTTTTTTTTCTGATTTTGGTAATTTGTGTCATTCTTGCTTTTTTTTCTTAATGAGACTGGCTAGAGGTTTTATTAGTTTTCCTTCCCAAAAAACCAGCTGTCGGTCTTATTGGTTTCTGCTTTAATCTTTATAATGCTTCCTATCTCCTGCTTGTTTTAGGTTGAATTTGTACTTATTTTTTCTAGATTCTTAAGTCGAAAGCTTAGATTACTGATTTGATATCTTTCCCTTTTTAATATAAGCATTTAATGGCATAAATTTCTCTCTAAAGTTAAAGATGCATCCACAGTTTAAGGCTTTTGTTCTTTAATGGGGATAGAGGAGAAAGGTTCTGGTGCTGGTTCATGCTCTCCACAGAAGCTACTGTTTCCCTCCCTCTGTACCATTAGGGAGACTTTCGTAGGACTCTTTCAGTATTTTCTATGAGTGCCTGGTGATTCTTGTTGATAAGATATGCAGAAAAGGTGTGGATTTCACCTACATTTGCAGCACCTCTCTCCCACCTCTCAACAGTATGTTCTTTCTCCACCAGTTTTGAAACCATGCTTGCTGACCTCTTCTTGCTAATGTTCTGCTGTGTTTTGTCCATGTAAGCCAATGCTAATGTCTTATCTCTCTGCAAATGCCTGTCTCATTAGTTTAGGGGGCAATTGGTTGCCCTCTGATCTCCGTATTCTGATGGAGTCAGAATACTTTATTTTGGTGTTGGAAGGTTGGAAGTGACATTCTTTCCAGCTCTCTACATTCCAAGCCTTAGCTTTATTTTAGAATTCCTTTGCTTTTAGTTATTTAATAGTATTTGTCTCCCAAGAGAAAGTTAATCACTTCTTGCTCTGATGTTGTACTTATATAACTTAGTACTTGTATAACTGTATTTATCACATTGTGCTGTAATTATTTGCCAACGTATCTGTCTCCACTATTAGCACACTGCTTTAGGGAAATAGACAAGTATATGCAGAATGCAAGATCTGTGACCTCCATATATCTAGTGCTTCCTGATTGGTTGTAGGCACTTATTATGTGTTCATAGAATAGAATTACAGTAAGATTTTAATTCATAACACAGTCCTGGTACTTTGAGATTCTGAAGAAATATTTGTTAAATAATTCGTGAATAAAATGGCTTATTTAGAAAGTATTTAGAAATTGATTTAGCTTCTATTTCCTCAAATTTCCAGATAGTTTTTTTAAAAGCTCAGTTTAATTTAATCATCCATGTAATTAAAAATCTTGCTGTGATTCAGATAGAAGATTCAGTTGTGCGAATTAATCCTTAATTGCTCAAAAAATATTAATGGGGTTGAATTATTTTCTGCTCCCATTGACTTTGGAGTAATATTGTTTACCTGAAATCTTCAGAGTAGTGAGTAATAAATTACAACATTTAAAATATTTTTAAAAAGTAAAATTGGGCTAGCTTGCCATTGAAAGAGTAAAATGATATTCTCTTGTTAGTAGTTAGAAATAGGTTGGATTAAGAGTAAGTTTAGTTATTAGGTCCTTCTTTTAAGTGAACAAATTAAAGAGATTTTTTTCAATTTTAACTGCATCTTTTCCAGATCAAATTTTCTCCAGTGGCTAAAAAGTTGTTTGTGGTAACTGCAGTGAGTGCTATATCTGTAATTTTTCTGGCCCATCACTTTAAAAGAAAACGTGGAAAGAAGAAAGGAAAAATATTACCATGGGAACCAGAGCACCTCATACTTGAGTACACTAAAAGAGCAGCATCAGACAAAGGTATGTGGAAATAGTTGAATTAAGTGTACAAAAGGAATTTTATGTGTAAATCATAACTGCAATACAGTGATTTTGGTCTTTAAGTCTCCAGAATTTTCTTCCTAATATATTATTTAACTCAAAAGTAATACAGATTTATTTTAGAAAGATTAGAAAATGTAGATAAGCAAACAGAAAAAAATTAAAATTACTAACATTCTGGTACCCAGAAATAACTACTGATAATACTTTCACGTATATCAGTCCACTTACATTTGCATTTAAATGTCATATTGAGACATAAAATGTTATATACAAGTAAATTATTTATGTATTTTAAGTAAAATTGTGATCAGACATTTTGTAACCTGCTTTTAAGATATTTGACAGTGTGTAAGAATGTCTTTCCAGATCAATAAATATCCCTCTGTGCTATCATTTTTAATATATAACTAGTGTTAATTTGTACGAATGTACCCCAATTTAATCATTTCCCCATTGGTTCCCTTTGGAATGTTTGGTGTTTTTATTTGCATATCGTTGTCTATTCTCTTAGACGGTAGAAATCAAGGAAAGTAAATTTGCTGTCCTTAAAGGATCTTTAAGTTTTGTGTAAAGATATCGTATGAGGGCCGGGCGCGCGCGCGGTGGCTCACGCCTGTAATCCCAGGACTCTGGGAGGCTGAGGCCGGGTGGATCATGAGGTCAGGAGATCGAGACCATCCTGGCTACACAGTGAAACCCCGTCTCCTGCTAAAAATACAAAAATTAGCCAGGCGTAGTGGCAGGTGCTCGTGGGTCCCAGCTACCTGGGGAGGGCTGGGGCCAGGAGAATGGCGTGAACCAGGAGCGGAGCTTGCAGTGAGCTGAGGATCATGCCACTGCACTCCAGCATTCCAGCCTGGGCCACAGAGCAACACCCTGTCTCCAA